AATATAATATAATGTAATATAAAAATATAACTTTTATATTTATTAAAAACACATTTATTTTATATAAAACGCTTTCAGATAATCGAGGTAACACAAAATACTTGAAATGAAATGAGACATATGTCTGATTCGTTCGAGTGATCTCATGGATTAGGTTAGATAACATGCTCACTTATCCTAAATCCGTTCGTGTTACTGAACATTGGAGCACATGAATGCAACTGCTCCAATCGTCACCTTGGGGTCGATTTTGTATCTTCAAAGTGAAAATTATAAAAGCGAACAAATTTACTAGAATTGACCAATGAAATAATCAGTATTTTAGTAAATTCGCTCACTTTTATCATTTTCACCTCATTTTAAAATACAGAATCGATCCCCTTATCTGTGATTCAAGTGCTCTCTGGGTTCATTTGGAGCTTACGACGCGAACAAACTTCTGATTTTGGCCATGGTATAAGAATTTAAGGTATTTCATTGTGCATAATGATGAAAAAGTACTAAAATAATCAATTAGAAATTTGTCCAAACTTTAGTGCTAAATTCAAATGTTGATAAAAATACATACATATAACAATTGTAAAAACAAAATTAAAATTTGAAAAAATACAAAAGCGTAAATGAATAAAATAATGTTAATAAAATTAATGACAATAATACTAATAAATGTAATAATGTTAATAAATGTAATTTGATATTTAAAATCAGCTAAATGTATGGCTCTTATAATTTTAAACACAACACGTGGACATTTCTACAAACCAATTATATGCTAATTAATTATTTAGGAAAAAGATTGATAAATTATAATAAATTATAATAAAAAATAAAAAAAAATTAAAATAAAAATTATATAAATTATAATAAAGGAAATAATTTATAAATATAGCTGCTCAAAGTTCGACACTCGTCTAGTTTCCATCGACAGAGTGGACTGTTAGATCTCTGCACAATAAAAGGTAACAGAAAACAGAGAATAAGAATTTCAACCTATCAGAAATCATGAATTATGGAATACACAGTTTTTGATAGATTGAAATTCTTATTCTCTGTTCTCTATTCCCTTTATATTCTTTGGTCTGTTTTCTGTTCCTGCACTATTCTATTGTAGAACTCTCTTTCTCGCTTTAAACAAATATCAAACATAAATTTATCTCACTGTAAGTTCCAAAAGTGTACACTAGTTCAACTACAAACCTCTTACATCATGATTTTGACCGCACTTTTCAAAGCCTAGTTCGGCCTCCTATTCTCTATACTTCATGGTTTCGGAATTGTTTAGAATGCGAACGATTTGAAACGATTCGGATCAATAGCTACTGGCCATATTGTCTCCGTTCAATACGAGAGGCAGGAGCCACTAACCAATAAAAAGAAGAAGAATCAATAGCTACGTAAGTTACATTGTACTACATTGATTGCATTCAACAACAGTTTTGCAACCGTCTTGTGATTGTCTGCTGAGATAGGATTATTCTTCTAGATAAAAAAGTTTATAATCCAATCAGTGTGAAGAAACGTCTCACAGTTGCAAAGTAAACGTTCTGCTGAAACTATTGTATTACGTTCCTAATTACTGTAATTACGGAATGTCAGTGATAATGACAGCCAAGCTTCAAGACGATATGAATAGTATACCTCTGGCAGATGATGATCCGCAAGGTGAGAGCGTAAAACGTACAGTCTCTGATTTTGCAATTCCTCTTGACATCGCTATTCCCCTCTCCCCCTCCTCTCTCTCTCTCTCTCTGTTTAATTGACATTGAGATGGAATTATAACTTAGCTCATCTCTAGCATCATTATTTATTCCAATGTCTTTGTTCCAAATGTTATTTAACAATGTTATTCATTTATGACTAAATTTGCTAACTTAATCTATCTGCTTCTTATTTTTGTTTATTTACACATATTATTTTTATTAATAATGTGAGAATTAGCTGCATTTAACTATGAACTATAGCAATGTAACGACGTCTATTCTATTTCTCGGAATTTAATATAAAAATTGAGATACTAGAAATGTAGAGACATAGAAATATGAATTATTGGAACTTTTGATTAATTATCTCGCCAATTATTTTGCTTAAAACTTCTTAAATATTTTTTACATTTTATACATTTAACAATTTGCTTGTATTTTGATAATAATGAGCTTCTTCTTTTTCTTGGTTGTTGGGGTTTAATATTATTACTCTAATATTATTTTTTGCATATATTATTATAGTAATAATACCAGAAGAGGAAATCTTGGACAATGCCTCACATATGTCTGATCCATTAGGCAGAAGACGCAGCATGGATTCTATACCATCAACATTTACTAATGGCAGTTGTAGTCCTAACAGTAAATGATATTATTGATTTCTTTCATTATAGTTTGTTTTTGTATTGTTATTCTTTCATTATAATATGTTTTTGTATTATTTGTTTTTTTATAACTAAATATACAAAGGAATATTAGCTTATTTTGTATTTATAATCTAAACAAAATAATATTAAATATGCAATATTTCAACTTCTATTATTAGAATATTATATACAATTAAATAAAAATTAGCTTTTAAATGATTGTAAGACTGTCAAATTGTGTATGAAATACTTCCTAAAATAATTTATATTTATTATAGGTTTAGATCCTGATATTAGCCCAGATGAGCAAGAAGAGAAAGCTAGATTGATTGCACAGGTTCTTGAATTACAAAATACTTTAGATGGTAGATATATATTTCACTAAAGATTAAATTACAGGAGAATATTCTTATTGGAATTTTTGTAATGTGCAAATGTATATGTTCTGTCTAGATCTGTCACAGAGAGTGGACAGTGTAAAGGAAGAGAATCTCAAGTTGAGAAGTGAGAATCAGGTTCTAAGCCAATACATTGAGAATTTAATGTCGGCATCAAGCGTATTTCAATCGACAAGTCCCAATACCAAAAAGAAGTAAACCATATTAATCAAATAATTAGACAATTTATGAAAAATTAGCTACAGTGATTTTGAAGTAATTGCGATTGTTTTGAGTATTTTGAAAAATTTCCGCATGCATAAATTTTATTTCGATTTACATTTATCAAAAGATAACATCAAATTTTTAAAAATCTCAATATTTGATGCTTAATTTGTCTTCGTCAGCTTGTATACACTTTCTATGAAAAAAAGATTCTTTCTGATAATTTACCTTTTTTTTAAATATTTAACACTACACTACTGTATTCTGTGACTTAAAACACGTTTATAATCATGATTCTACGCGCCAAAGAGATCTATTTTATACTTTTACAATTTTTTTTTATAAACGTATTTCGCAAATTTTTTTAAATAATTGTTTGTTAAGTAAAGATTATAATTTTTGCTTAATTTTCTTTAAATTAAGATTAGATTATTTTCTATTAATACACATAACAGTACTAATATATATTTGTTAACCTGTATAATAATCTATATAATAACGTGATATTTAGTTCATTGTGTATGTTTGAAATAAATAATATACATGAAGCCAAATAGAAATATTTCTAAATAATTTAATTTTTTTATTTTTTGTGTACATTAATTTTAATTAAAATTTAATTTAAATTTTTTTATACAATTACAATTACATCTCTCTTTCATACATTTGCTTCTCACATTCGTATATAGTTTTCAAAGACATTTTATATTTGCAAGGCTGGATATCAAAACGAAGCCATATATATTTTTCATTGGGATATTTGCTTCTTTAATAGAAAATTCTTGCTTGCAATATTTTGACATATTTATATGCATTATATATAGATATATAAGAGATAATGTGTAGAATATAAGAGATAATGTATAGAATATAAGAGATAATGTATAAGAAATATGTAATATTATGTACAATTTTTTTAAATACGCGCTATTGATATTGACAAAAAGCTAATGTTTGTGCATATGATATAAGCAAAATAATCATAACTTCTGCTATTTACAAAACGATTCAAGTACATAATAATCGTTGTATGTAAACAATCGTCTTATTTAACGATTTGATGTATCGATTGACATGTAATAACAAATATATATCTATTAAGAAATTGCAACTTGCAATAGTTTTAGTTTAAGTAGCATAAAAAAAAGCACAGTCCCAAATTTAAGTATCCTATTATGTTGAAAAATAACAGTGTTATGATAAACATTATATTCTATTGGAACATTACTGTTCGATGATTATCGATTCTTCTGAATGTTTCTCTTCTTCTTTATTATACGACATTGTTGCAGCTCATAGAACACTACTTCATCACTCCTTCATCTTCTGAATTTCTTTCCGAGAAAGTTTACGTAACGAATGAATTATCGAAAATGAGAGGCATACCCTGTAAAGCATGTTTGTAACAGTTTCTTGAAACAGTTTCAGATTAATCAATTAATCTTCTTGGATAGCCGAAAATTGTATAGCCTCTTGTCCCCAAAATGTTTTCGACCCAGGCTTTACTCGTTCATTTTTCTTTATTCCTATCCACCATCCATATTGCACGTATTTACGCGATCTGAACGCATCATAGGAACCAATACTCCATTGTTCCCATTTGGTGTTTTCATTAGCCATATTTATCTAAAATCAAAACTAAACAAATTTAATTTATAATCAATCTCGATTATCTTTTTAAGATTATTATTAATGAACTTCTTGTTGAGAGAGAAAATTTATTAACTAATACGGTTAAACAAAATTAATTTTTAAGCTTAAATGAAATTCACTTTTTAATAATTTTACAACTATAATATACGTGCGTGCGTGTACTATTAATTATGAATTTAAGCCAATTTTAAGATATATATTTTAGAAGTATTTTATTAAATATTATTTACATAGAATGAAATTAGAGAAATTATTATAATATTGTAAGAATTATAGAACGTTGTAAAAAGATCGCAAAAGAATTTCACGTGGAACTTTATGTGGAATTTTATAGAGTGCTCTCTCTCTCTCTCTACATATATATATAATTTTACGGTTATGAATAGTATAGTACAACTATAGTAATTATGTATACTGTTCTACATTTCTTTAATTGTAAGAGCTTCTTTCTCGTAATATAATGAAAATTTGCAAGGAGGATTTACTCGTACATTTCTTCATTTTTATGGTTTTTTTTTCTTATTCTTTTGGCATCTTATCTCTCCGTACAACCGCCCTTTTTTGAATGCCAAATACAACCTCGTTTCGATACTTTGTTGTTCTGATAATGCCAAAAGATACTGGTGTTGCGTAAAGCAGATCTGTAAGGGTATCTAAACTTTTGTGTGTGTAAAAATCTTTCTTAATGATGATCATATATGTAAATATCATTATTGTAAATACATATGTAATACATATACATATATTGCAAACATTTATTATTGCATACATTTTTTTATTTTATTTTATTCAATATTTAACAATTAAGTATGATGGAAATATACCATATGACTCCTTGTTTCCGGATAATCCTTCTACTTGTCCCGATGGCGTAATTGCTATATCCGGTGCGACAATACAACTTAATTATCCGGCAATTATAGATAGGATTTTTTGCTGGTTGTTGTGGATCTCATATTACGTAAGATGGGTACTTGCGTGATTTGCAGTTATGTTCATTGTTGCGTGGCGTTCTATAATTGCAATCAAATAGTCCATGGATTATCGACGTATATATCGTTATATATTATACGTAACATGAGCAGAAATAGGAAATAAACTTGTGAATTTCTAAAAGTTCGAATTTTTGTCAAAGCATATACAAGCCTCAAAAGTATCATAACGAATTAATTTCACTAATATTAATAACAGGACATTTAACGCATTTTGAAAAATATTCTTTTATACGCGAATTATTATCTAAATTTTAATAAAAATATTAACAATAATTATGTCTCTCACCAATAATTAACTTAAAATTAATTTTGACAAAATTTTATTTCTATTGTGAACGATAAATTAATATTTTATTGTAATATTATGCATTTTTTACATAGTATATATTTCTTGATATATATATTTATATATATATAGTATAGTATATACATAGTATATATTTCTTTTCTGACGTACTACATTTCTTAACCGTTAGACGTTAAGGTTTCCTTTGTCATTACAAAGGTTGTTTATACATTTATATACGCTGCAAAATTTATAGACCATTTTTCCAGGTCAGCAATCCCTATGAATGAAGCACACCACACGATATCGTGCAGCTTAGCTATGTGTAATTTTTTAAAATAATTTCAATAAACTATCGAAACGATTATAAAAAGTAATAATTATGGATATTGTAGATTAATGTTTCTACAAATGAGAAAAATGTCTGATTCGATTAATTGGAATTTTGATTAGACATGGACGAATTAGAATTTTCTGGTTAAATTTTAAAATTCTAATTGTTATAATCAGAATTTTGATTGATATTAATCAGAATTTTCTGATTAATCAATTCGTCCATTTTTATCCAAACATTTTTCTCAACATTTTTCTCAACATTTTTCTCTGTTTTCACAAATTCGAACGAAATTTTATTTCTATCGCAAATGTTACGTGCATATACAGCTGTCATATATCACATATGAAATTGTAGTGGTGGTGCCTCATCGAGCTCGTTTGATACCGTTAATAAAGTAAACTATATACACCTCCTGACCCTGTGGTGATATAGAGCAAAAAGTTAATCGAGTCAATGGATATACGTTATAATGTGTGCTGAAGAGAGGACGATTAGACAGATGCATTTATATATATATAACGTCTAATTCGCGTAAATAAATACTTAATTTGTATATATATTAGGTGTACAACTTTGCTTCCGCCATTTTCCTATAGATGGCTTTAGCGGTAAGTGGTGGTCGAAATAAATAGATCGTAGACGTCATACAATAAACTTGGGCATCTGTCAACATAACCCCATAGAAACATTAGTCGATTTGTGTCTGCATCATAAAATTATTCTCGATTGAAAAGGTCAGTTTACGAGCCAAATTCTCGTCATTTGCGAGAGGTTTTAATTTTTTGCTTCAATATGAAGAAATCTGCGGCTGAGGCTCATCGAATGCTCTCAAATTCTTATGGTGAGGCCGCTATTAGTGAAAGAACGTGTCGTGAGTGGTTTCAACGCTTAAAGAACGGTGATTTTGACGTCCAAGGTCATGCTCTGTGGTGGGACCAGCTCGGCGTAGTGTATTATGAACTGTTAAAACCGACTGAAACAATCACAGGCGATCGGTATCGAACGCAATTGATGCATTTGAGCCGAGCATTGAAAGACAAACGCCCGCAATACAACGAGAGACACGATAAAGTGATTTTGCAGCATGACAATGCTCGACCCTATGTTGTAAAAGTGGTCAAGACATACTTGGAAACTTGGAAATGGGAAGTCCTACCCCACCCGTATTCTCCAGACGTTGCTCCCTCTGACTATCACTTGTTTCGATCAATGGCACACGGCCTGGCTGACCAGCACTTCCGGTCTTATGAAGAAGTAAAAAATTGGATCGATTC